CCACAGTAAAATCTGCTCCAGAAATATTTACGAAAAGCCTTGGGCTCCATTTATTTAGACATGAACGAAGATAAGGAGGGGAGATGGAATCTACCCAATAATAAATACAAACCAATAGCCATGACTGCAATCTGTGTCATTTGGGTTGATTTTTATAAAAACAGGGAGGAAAAAGGAGGTTAAAGCTTGCTTTGGAATTCCTGCCACAAGTCAATAGGCAGTACAGTGTGCCCATGGTTTGGTTTGGTTCCAGGATCCCCATGGATACCAAAATCCATGGATGCTCAAGTCCCATTATATGCAATGGCACAGTAAAATGGTGACCCTTATATAAAATGGCAAAATCAAGGTTTGTATTTTGGAATAGCCATGGATAGTTGTATCCACGGATAAAGAAACTGCAGCTGTAGAGGAGCAACTGTACTCTTATGTGAGACTGCCTTTGAACAGTGTTTGGAAACTTTCAATCTTGCCTTTGTACCTGCTTCCTTGACCTTTCTTTGTAACTGTTCCAAGTCCATGATGCTTTCCGCTAGTAGTATGGTGTCATCCACATATCTTAGATTGTTGACATTTCTTCCTCCTATCTTCACTCCTTCTTCTATCTAAATTTGATCTTCTTTTGATATTTACTGCATACAAGTCGAACACTTGGAGTGATGCAATGCAGCTTTGCCTGACTCTTTTACCAATTGAGAACTGTTCTGTTTCTCCTTATTCTGTTTTGACAGTGGCCTCTTGTTCTAGGTACAGATTTCTCATCAGGATTATCAAATGTAGTGGGACGCCCACTTTGAGTGTGTTCTATAGCTTTTTATGATCTGTGCGGTTAAGAGCTTTGCTATAGTCTATAAAGCACATGCTGATTTTCTTTTGGAATTCCTTGGTGTGCTCCATTAGCCATTATATGTTTGCTATGTGGTCCCTAGTGCCTCTTCCTTTCCTGAACCCTGCTTGCACCTCTGGGATTTCTCTCTCCATGTATGGTTTGAATCTGTGTTGCAGAAATTAATGCTATGGTTCTATAATTGCTACAGTCTTTTGTGGCTCCTTTTTTGTGGATGGGGATTAATATTGAACGTTCTAGTCTGTTGGCCACTGTTATATGTATTTGTACTGATGGCTAAACAGTGCATAATGCAAGAATTTCAGCATGCAAATGCTTGTGCCAGGAAACAGATATTCACTGCAGGAGAGAAGGAATGGGCAAGAGGGAGTTGATGATGCACTCCCCATTTTTGCTCTTCTTCCTCTGTACCCCTTGAGCCATAGATGCTCCAGTCCACTCCCCTGGGCTACAAACGTCAGGACACTTTGACAGTGACTATGTAAGAAATTGGTATTACTCTGTTCTGCAGATAGACCTTAGGATATTCTAGGTCAGATCAGAGGGTGGAAGGCAGACAGAAGCAAAGGACAGATGGAAAGGAGAGAAAAGAAAATAAATAAAAGAAGGAAGAGAGAAAGGGAGGGGTGAAAAGAAAGGAAGGAAGGAAGGAAGGAAGGAAGGAAGGAAGGGTAGATGAAAAGAAAGGAAAGGCAGAGAAAAGAAAACAAGAAGGAATGAAGAAAAAACAGAAAAAAGAAGAAAAGAAAGAGACAGGAAGGAAAAGAAGACAGAAATTAAGGGGGAAAAGAGAGAAAGAAAAGAAGGAATATAGAAAGGGAGGAAGGAGAGAAAGGAGAGCCATCATGGTGCAGTGGTTTTAATGCTGGATTAGCACTCAGGGAGATTAGAGTTCAAGTCCCTTTCAGCCATGGAAGCCCACTGGGTGAATTGGTAAAGTCTCACTCTCTCAGCCTCAGAGGAAGGCAATGGCAAACCTCCCCTGAAAAACCCTAGGATAGGGTCAGTACAAGTTAAGAGTTGGCTGGAAGGCTCATAATAACAACAGAAGGAAAGATAGAAGGGGGAAAGGGAGATCTAAAGGTATAAAAGAAAGAAAGACAGGAAGGAAAGAAAAAAGGAAGACAGACATAAAGAAAGTGAAGATAGGAAAGAATAAAGGGAAGGAAGGGAGGCAGACCAAGACATTTCTGGTCCCTGCTTGGCTGTCTGTGTTACGCAGTGAGCAACAATGGGTCTGTCCTCCCCTTGTTGGGGAAAAAGAGGCAGAAATAAGGAGCCCTATCTGACTTAATCAGGATGCTGATAGTGAATCCAGCAACAGCAAATGTGGTGATTGAGTGCTGGTCTATGACCCTGGAGATCAGGGTTCGAATCCCAGCTCAGCCATATAAACCCACTGGCTGATCTTGGGCAAGTCACACACTCTCAGCCTCAGAGGATGGCAATGGCAAACCCCCTCTGAAGAAACTTGCCAAGAAAGCCCCAGGGCCACCATAAGTCAGAAACAACTTGAAGGCACACAACAATAAAAGTAAATCCAGCAAAAGGCACAAGAGATGATTCACACCTGGGCTGTTGGCGGACGAATATTCAAAGGCGGGATAGAGAAAAAGAAAGAGAGAGAGAGAGAGAGAGAAGCAGGCAGATTGGAGGACTCTGCCTGTATGTCAAAATGCTTTAACATTACTCACAAGATATATGTTATGACGCCCACAGACCACATATCCACTTCAGGACCATACGGCGAGCCGTGGAGAATTTCAGGAGCTGAAGGCGTTCAAAGAAGAAAGAAGAAAATCAAATCAGTCCAAGAGCTGAGATGGTTGGCATCTTTCCTCACCACCCGCCTTCTCTCGCCCTCTTCTCTGCCAAGGGCTACTTTGAACACAGCACTCTCATCCTCCCAACATTTTCGGATGACTGGCCATTATCCTCGGCCCATTCACACCTGCCTGCTGCCATACCTGGGAGAAGCAAGTGTGAAGAAACGCTTTAGCATTCTGGGGGAGGAGGAGAAAAGGGAAAGTGGAGGCGGCATATTGCTAATTTGCCATTTATTTCTAAGGGAATTGTAAAGCTGAAAAGAGAGGAAGATTCAGAAAAGGGAGAAAGCTTTGACTTCCAGGACAGGGGAAGGATGTGGTCCAACCTGGTGGAATTTCATTGCATGGCCTTGGTTCTGAAATTGATTTGTTTGAATTTATAGGCCACTTTTCCCTTGGCAGAAGGCCCACAAAGTGGCTGACAAAGAATGAAAACAAGATTAGATTTTTGAAAAAAATGATAATAAAAAAGATAAAATACAATTAAACAATCACTACATTCTTTTGTTATTTTGTTTTGCTGTTTAGAGTATACTATTCTGTATCTTTAATTTATGTTTTGCATTTAATACACGATATGAATGGAATTAACAATGTTTTTAATCAATAAAATTTATATTTATATAAAAAATAAAAAATAAACAATCACTACATTAAAAAAGTATAAAATCATAATGGAATAATAAAGTCAAAATACAATGTATCTTCCACATAAATAACTCCCTGTCACCAATAGATCATTAAAAGCCAGTTGGAATAAGGTCTTTGTCTGCCACAATTCTAGCCCTCCCCAAATTTTGTTTGGTACCACAAATGGACACCTATAATGGCTATAAGGCAAGTTTTTTACTGGTGGGAAATGGTGCAGTAGGTAGTCTAGAACCAGTGTGGCGCAGTAGTTTGAGTGCTGGTCTATGACTCTAGGGACCGGGGTTCGAATCCCAACATGGCCATGAAACTGGCTGGGAGGCCTTGGGCAAGTCACATGCTCTCAGCCTCAGGCAATGGCAAACCTCCTCTGAACAAGTCTTGCCAAGAAAACTCCATGATAGGTTTGCCTTAGGGTTGCCATAAGTTGCAAATGACTTGAAGGCACACAACAATGGTCTAGTGAGTTGGGCCTCTGCCACAAGGCAGATGGGTTATAGATTCCTTGTTAGTGTCGAGCCAAATATAAGCAGCTGTCTGGTCATATAGAAAGGGTCAACTGTGATTTTGGTAAATACATTTTCAGTGACTTGATGAAATACATTTTTTTTTTTTTTTTTTTTTTTTTTGCATTAGCTTGGCATTGACATTGGAACACAGGGCGGTTCGACAGTGGAACACACTCCCTCGGAGAGTAGTGGAGTCTCCTTCCTTGGAGGTCTTTAAGCAGAGGCTGGATGGCCATCTATTGGGGATGCTTTGATGAGGAGTTCCTGCATGGCAGGGGGGTTAGACTGGATGGCCCTTGTGGTCTCTTCCAACTCTATGATTCTATGATCTTGGAAAAATGGGAAGGCTGGAAATGGACTGGGGAGGCATGAATTTTCCTCTGTTGCTAACATGCTTCTCATCCATATTGTGTGTGTGTGTGTGTGGAGACATGGGTCATGCTTGCGCACTTTGGTTTTCTTTGTTTGCGTCTGCATTTACATAACCCTTGGGAGTCCATCTTCCATTGCCCTCATCCTGGGGGCTAGCGTAGGGCCCCTCATAAATATAAATGTAATAAACAATTTATTAAAAATGACGGTCAGTATTCTACACCAGCTACATTGCAAATTTGGAAATACAGACAGACTTAAGTACACTTAACTAAAGTAGCTGATAGTAGAATACTGGCCCATGTCGATAGGGTCAAACAATTATTAATCCAAATACTGCTAATAATTAGTAACAATCATTGCGATGGTTCATTAGGCATGAATCTATAATCAGAGGAAGACAAATGACCTAGATCTCTTAACAAGCCTTCAGTGAAACAAGAGCCACTTGTTTTCTTCAAGAGCAGCTATTAGTTTTTACAATCTTCTATTTCTTTCCATGACTAAACTCAGCATTGATGCGATGTGACTTCAAGTCATTTCCAACTTAAGGTGACCTTATTAATATAATAATAATAAAATATATTATTTATTATTTATGAACCTATCATGAGGTTTTCTTGGCATGTTTCTTCAGAGGGGGTTTGCCATTGCCTACCCCTGAGGCTGAGAGGGTGTGACTTGACTAAGGTCACCCAGTGGGCTGAGCCAGGACAGTTAAAGTGGACTCAAGTTGCATTATTTCTGGCAGTCTGTAAAGGCCCCTAGTTCCCTAAGCCATTCCACATAGGGCTTGGTTTCCAGACTTTTACCAGCTTGGTTTTTTTTAAAATTAAAATGTAAAAAGGTGACTTGGTTTACTAAATAATCACTATGTTACAAGCTTTAAAAATATTTTAAAAATTCCTGCAGATCCTTAATAGAGTCAAACAGGGCACCTCTTTCTCACCACTGAGAATCTTCCCAGAATGGCTTTTCCCTACCCTTCCACCATTCTGATGCTTCAGACTACAACTCCCATCAACCCCACCACTGATGATGCTGGCTTAGAGTGATGCATGTTGTAGTCCCTAATAACCAGAT